AGCTCCTCTCAAAAGCAAGATCCCTTATAGCTCATGTGGCTTGGTGACTCATGCACGGAGAATGCCTACTAGGAAATTCCATACACTTTAAATAACAAAGTGGATCTGTGCATGCAGGCATCAGTGTGGGATGCAGCAATGGGGGGGGGGGGAGAGAGGGAGAGAGAATCACCTTCTGAATTTGAAACTGGTTCTACCTTGGGTGTCTCCCACCAGGAGCTGACCCAGAGGTTGTGCCAGGTGAACAAAGTTAGAGATTTAGCCGCTTGTTCAAAGCAGGGATTTCTCCTCTATCACCCTGCCACTCCCGAGCCTACTTAAGAAAGGGGGTTTCCTTTCCCCCCCTCTTCGGATCTGGAAAGAGAAGAAAAGTTTTTGTTTCGGGAGGAGAAATCCTCCAAGACCTCTTTGATTTTAAAAGAATCTTCCCCTTCCCTTTCTAAAATAAAAAAAATAAAAAAATGAGAGTTACTCCCTGAGCCAGCTTTAGGAAGCCTACCTAGACCTCAGTCAGCAACTCTGCAAACAGGAGAGGAGAAAACAACACAGCTGGGTGGTGTCAATCCCAACGCTCAAAACTGGACCGCAGCAAAGACACTCGGTGCCATCCCATGTCCTTCTTTTACCTCCATGCCCCACCGAGTGAGCTATGGCAGCTGGGCGGTGACGGTGACAGAAGGAAATCAAAATGAGTCCATCCGGAAAAGAAAAAGCATCTGTGTCAGTCCTAGGCAGGGAACTAGATTCCCTCTGATCATCTCAAAATAATAGCATTGTGGAAGGGGACCTTGGAGGTCTTCTAGTCCGACCCCCTGCTCAAGCAGGAGACCCTGGACAATGGCTGTCCAGTTCCTTCTTGAAAAGCCCCAATTAGGAAAGCAAAACTTCTGGTGGCAAGCCGTTCCGTCCATTGCCTGGGTTTTGTACAATGCACCGAGCGATCGACCACTGAAGCGGATCCCACGCTGGGCCATCGAAAGACGAAACAGCTCCCCCGACTAACCAAGTTTAATACTAACCGAGCTTAGCGCATTTTTGTAAAAGCAGCCAGCCGGTCCCCAATGGCTTTACTTTGTGCAAACTCATTTACGGTCTGAAGTTTGGTTAATTTGTTGTTACGAGAAAGAAACATCGAGATGAACGCTAGGAAAACTACACTACACTAAAAGTGACTGGACAGTAGAAGCAACGAAGAAAAGGAATGAGTTTTTTCCCCCTAATTTTAAGCCCCCAGAAACATTGATTGAGATGGGCAGCTCTAGGAATGGAAGGAAGGAAGGAAGGAAAATGTATTCAAGCCTAGGCTGAACAGCCATCAGCCTAGGTGGCTTTAAAAAGGATTCCTGGATGAAGTAAGAGGTCAGATTGTATGACCTCAATGGTTCTTCGCTGGTTCTAGGGTTCCACAAATGCCAATAGTTCCTAAGTGAAAAGGAAGCAAATCATCTCCGATAGAAATAAAACCAAAAATTAATACCGACGGTTACTTTTGGAATTCCACTTCACCAAGTTTAAGTCTGACGGGTAGACAACAACAACAACAACAACAATAGGATTAGCGTCGGTTTAAGAGGCCCAACCAGTTTTGAAGCTGCTTCTTTCTACTGGGGAAAAAGGAAGCCCAGATACTTCCAGTCCATTCAGTGGCGTTCCCTGAAGGCAAAACAAACGGTGAAGCAACAGAAACTAAAAGTCGGTAACCACCATTGTTGTATTTGCATTACCCATCATTCTACGATAGGGCTGGGCAGATTTCCAGGCCCTGCGAGTTAATTTTGATTTTTACACAACTTGCAATCTATATCAGACCCTTATACACAAGATAGGTATGCACTAAGGATTAAAGGGTGACTCCAGGCAGCTTTCTGGTAAGTGGTGGGGTGTTGAGTACATCTACACCCCCACAAATCCATGATTATGTTTTTACATCTCCCCTTGTTTCAGCAAGATACTTCAGGAACCCTTAAGCAACCCTTAAACCTTCTAGTGAAAAAAGGACCAGGGGTGACATGATAGCAGTCTTCCAATACTTGGAGGGCTGCCACGAGGAAGAGGGGGCTCAGCTTGTTTACCAGAGCACCAGAGGGCAGGACGAGAAGCACTGGGTGGAAACTAATCAAGGAGAGAAGCAACCTAGAACTGAAGAGAAACTTCCTAACAGTGAGAACAATTAACCAGTGGAACAGCTTGCCACAAGAAACTGTGGCTGCTCCATCACTGGAGGCTTTTAAGAAACTAGAAAGCCATTTATCAGAAATAGTATAAGTCTCCTGTGAGAGCAGGGGGTTGGACTAGATGACCTCCAAGGTCCCTGTAACTGCTCCCACCGATTCACAACACTGCTCAATTTTTCCATCTTTGCTCTCCCTGCAAAGGCACAACCATACTTGTGGATATGCTGCCATCTTGTGGACAAATAAAGTCATCTCAGTTCATTACTTTGTTCATTCCCTGCCATTTCTTTTTCCTAAGTATTATTTATTTTATTTTATTTTATTATTTATTATTTTACTTTATTTTATTTATTTTATTTTATATTTTACTTTATTTTATTATTTTATATTTTATTTTATTATATATTTATTTTATTATTTTATTGCTTCCTTAACTCAGGTTGCTGGCTACAATCTGTCTAAAAAAACTGAAAGCTTGTAGCCTCGCCCAGTTTTATAAACTACTAGACCACCCGTGTGCGCCCTGTTGGGTCATTGTTTCCAAGGTAATTCCTTACCTAAACAATGACTCAGTATGACTGAGGTGGGCAAAATAATAGTGGAAGCAGAAGTGACTTCTGATTTCCTGCTGGCTTCCCCTGCTGACACTCTTTATGGGAAGCTGGCATGGCTCATTGGAAATGATCACATTACTAGTGCTGATGGTGGCAGCCTGGCAGCCCAGCAGGCTAAGCACGTAAGTGCCACAATTTTGCCAAATTTTAATCCCATAGGAGGCATAGATTCCAAATCTGGATACATTCTGTAAGTTAGCTCATTTGAGCTACATTGATTCAAAAATGGTTGCCCTAAGATGCAGCATACTAAAAAGCAGAGACATCACCCTGCCAACAAAAGTATGCATAGTCAAGGCCATGGTTTTCCCAGTTGCAATGTACGGCTGTGAAAGTTGGACCATAAGAAAGGCTGAGCGCCAAAGAATGGAGGCCTTTGAACTCTGGTGCTGGAAAAGACTCCTGCGAGTCCCCTGGACTGCAAGGCGATCAAACCGGTCAGTCCTAGAGGAGATCAACTCCGACTGCTCTTTAGAAGGCCAGATCCTGAAGTTGAAACTTTGACCACCTAATGAGAAGGAAGGACTCACTGGAGAAGAGCCTAATGCTGGGAAAGATGGAGGGCAATAGAAGGGGACGACCGAGAATGAGGTGGCTGGAGGTGAAGCTGTAGGCGTGGAGGGCAATAGAAGGGGACGACCGAGAATGAGGTGGCTGGAGGTGAAGCTGTAGGCGTGAGCTTAAAGAGACTCCAGAAGATGGTAGAGGACAGGAAGGCCCTGGAGGAACATTGTCCATGGGGTCGCGATGGATTGGACACGACTTCACAACTAACAACAACAACAAAGTCAAGGATTACCTGTATGTAGATGGTGATGAATGATGAGTGATGGATCCCTCTCCCTTAAAATGTTACACACAACCCTACAGCCTCTATAAAGTAAAGGAAGACAAATGCTGGCTTTACTTAACCAAGATTGGAGGAATCTGGTTTGGTACCTCTATTTGCTACCAATGTACAAACATGTATCAAACGTTCTCCATAGGCACCATGTAAGATATTCATAAGATGTCTGATTCGGGGGCGGTTTTCGTTGCAAGGAACCACAACACAAATATGGAAATCTGCTGAACAACTGACAGGCAGCCAGCTATGAACGAAAATAGCCTTCACTAGTTTTTCACTTTATTTCAGTCAAAAGGATTTTCAAAGTGTACAGTTATTTGGATAAAATACTAGACATTATGTCTGGGGAAAAGTGGATTTGGGTGTGCATTGTGTGTGTGTGTACATGGATAATATAAACTTTGTGCTACCTGTATACTTTGAAGGTATGGTCAGCTGAACCAACATAAATTAATATCATTCAAATGAATGACTTTTTGTTCCTGTGGTTTCTTAATCAAAGACTATAAAACTGTCTTCCTGCATAAGATGCCCTTTGATCATTGGGATCTTAAGGCCTACAATTCTTAATCAGCATGGCTGTTAGTGGTGTTTCCTAGCTAGAGGCTACAGGCTCTAAAAGAAAGGGATCAGTTTTGGCAAAGAGGCTGCTCTAATATTGCACAGGACGTGCGAAAATAAAACCCTTTAAAAATGACCTTTCTGGCTTTTTTGTTGCTCTTATGGACAAATAAAATGATCAAGAGAGTGGCATACAATACAGACATTAATTAACAGCTCTGTTTTTTTTTTAAAAGGCTACAACATTATTACACATTTTTCAAATAAAATGTGAGCCAAACTCAGGGAAGAAAATAAAATTTTTAAAAACTCAGTAGTAGTTCGCTGGGAGAGAGAGAGTAAGTGGTGAGTAGTAGTAGTGAGTGAGTGAGAGAGAGAGAGAGAGAAGAGAGAGAGAGAGAGAGAGAAAACAGATCCATAGAAACTATTTCCTGACTTAGAATACGGTGTCCTGCTTTTCAGTCGACCTTTTTCAACTTTTTTAATATATATATATTTATTTTTATATTTTTTTAATATATATATTTATATATATATATAGGTTGGCTTGATTTCGTTTGGTGAAGACAGTGAGCTTGTGGCTTGTGTCTAAATGATGGAGAAGTTGGAAACTAAAAAAAAATGTGTTTACACAATATACACATTTCATTACTTACAAAGGAAAAAAATAATAATAAGTTTAAACGTTTCATATCAAAATCTGGGAATACAGTAGGATCAATAGCACCACAATGTGGGGTTTCTTGGCACAGCACAGTCTCCTCCTCGTAGGAATTCCTTTATTTTTTTGGGGGGGGGGAGTGGCACCTTCACTTTTGGGGGTCAATTTGGCAAAGAGCACATTTTCAGTCCTTACAGGAAAAAGGTTGACTTCTTCAATCTTCCCAATCTTCCGATGCCTTGGCTATCTTCTCCATCGTTCCTTCAACCGATTCCTTTAATTCGTTTAGTAGCCAAATTTCTAACCCGCCCCGGTCCCCAAAATGCAACACGTTGGTTTTGGGGGTTCTCCTTCAGGGAGAGGCACTGAGATCTGCATCAACGGGAGTGTCTCTTCTTCAAACTTCTTCTTCTTCTTCTTCTCCTTTTCCACAATAGCACCAATATTATAGCTGAAGGACAGTGCATTAAAATATTTCTCAGTTGCTGTGGTGTAAAGTCTGACGCATTACGTCCTCTTCATGCAAACTTGGCATCGACTGATACGGGCCCGGAGGTCGCCAGCCTTAAGAGTCTCCGATTGAGGTTTACTGGGCAAGGGAAAGACAAAGAGAACACATCGTGAGTTGGTGGAAAGTAAGGATGGAAAACATCTAAGCTAGGGATGTCCAACCTTGGCAACTTTTAAGACCTGTGGACTTCCAACTCCCAGCACCAAGGACCCCTCATTTCAACCCTGAGCTCCAAATAGTCTCTTCTATTCATAAGCAAATTAATTTTTGATTTGGTTCTGCATGCCATGTGAATCCAATCTACATGGCTGGTATCCATGATGTGTGTCTTTGTATGTATATATGTGTGTGTGTGTGTGTGTGTGTGTGTGTGTATCTCTGTATGTATTCTGTGTTAAATTTAGATTTTTGCCGACAAAGAATTAAAGGGAGACTAGTATAGCTATTTCAAGCTATTTAGCTCTCATCAGCTAGCCATTCCCTTCTGAGATTCAAATCTGGGCTGCTTGCAGGTTAGGCAGCTGTATTAGCCTCTATGCCACAGGGTCTCCTCACTTCTGTCAGCTTGTACCAGGGAGGATACATATTAAATGTTTTCCGATGAAACTAGTCTCCCTTTAATTCTTTGTCAGCAAAAATCTAAACTTAACACAGAAAATAGTTTAGTGCAGTAGCGACTTTAGCCTGCAAAATGCTCCTAGATTGGGGCTGAAAGGCAAAAGTAATATTTGGGCAGACCAGGTGTTCTACTTGCTTAATATTTTATCAGCAACATATTGTCTGGGTTTCCAGCACTTTAACTTACTAATACGTGTTCAATTCCTTTTGTTTTTCTAGCCATTGATAAAAGGTATCCCATGTTCTAAAATATACTGAATCTTCTTTCTCTTTCATTTTCAATGTCAATCTATCCATTTCTGCACAATCTAAAAAAAATGAATTAACTTTTCCTCCGTTGGGAAATCATTTTTCCAATGTTTTGTGTCTTAGTACAATGTTGAGGGACCTGAATCCCCAGGATTCAATTCCACCAGCTACAGCTAAGGAAATCAGAGCTTACCAGGCTGTGTGTATCCAACATGTACATTAAAAAAAAAAAAAAAAGGAAAGAGGCAGACTTACTTAAACATTTCTGATATTTCCACAGTGGCCAGCCAAAAACTGTATGAATTGGCGTAATAGTTGCAGGTCCCTCGGCCGTGGCACTCAATAAAGGGAGCTGAGCGGAATTCCTCAAGGCAGGAGCCAGGAGAAGCCAAGGCCTGTCCGGATCCTTCGGCTCCCGCACTGGTGTGCTGAAATTAACCAAATCACTCTAGGTCAGTGATGGCGAACCTTTTAGAGACCGAGTGCCCAAACTGCAACCCAAAACCCACTTATGTATCACCGGGTGCCGGGTGGGTGTGGCCCACTCAGTGGGCATGGCAGACTGGGTAGGCATGGCCACTGGATGGGTGTGGCTGCAGTAGTCATGGCAGATTGGGTGGGCATGGCCGGGGTAGGCGTGGCCACCTCGATGTTGCTTATGGGGAGGGAACACCTGTGGGAGCCGGGCAGGGCAGGGTTGGGGGAGATCCAGGGGGTCTCTGGCGGGTGGGATGGTGGGCTCCCCAATGGTAGCTCCAGGCTGGCTGGCCTTAAGCCAGTGATGATGAACTTTTAGAGACCACGTGTGCTGGGGTGATGGCGCATGCCCACAGAGAGGGTTCTGCGTGCTGCCTCTGGCATGTGTGCCAGTGTTTCTCAAGCATAGCAACTTGAAGACGGGTGGACTTCAACTCCTAGAATTCCCCAGAGAGCTGGTTGAAAGCCAGGGGTCCCCAACCTGTGGGCCACGGCTTGCTGGCCACTGCACCACAGAACAGGCTGGCCAGTGTGTGTATGTTGAGCGCACACTCAGCCCCACTTGCGCTAGTGCCGCTGCTGCTATGAAAATGGGGCGCTGCACAGCAAAAACAGGGCAGTGCCAGCGAGTGTCACGCAGGCGCTAGTACCACCCCGTTTGCATCATGCATGCTCGCGGCCCCGTTTGTGCACGTGCGTGCGTAAAATGCTTTCCCCTCCCTTTCTGATTCGCCAGCTGAGAAAGATTCGAGACCTCTGTTGTAAGCCATCCAGAACATAGGTGGAGAGATGAATAATGCCTCTTGCTAACACCCAAATTTTGACCACATGACCATGGGGATGCTGCAATTGTTATCAGTGTGAAAGACAGTCATACAGTGCCGTTGCAACCTTGAACGGTCATCAAATGAATGCCTGTAAGCAGAGGATTACCCGTGACAACAGAATCTTGAAAGTCTGGTCATGTCTTCCCTTAAAAGTTCCTTTTAATGATCTCCCCACCTCTCTGGGCTTTTTTATTTTTATTTTTGCTGAAGGATGGTTTCAACAGGCCTCTGATTCCTTTGCTAAGGTCATTTCCGAAATTCCCCATGTTCTTTTAGGACAAGGGTTTTCTTTCTTCCTCTTCTTTTTTCCCCACTTCTCCTGGTCCTCTCAGCCCGACAGGGACTCCTAAGATGGATGGAATTGCAGGCACCTGAATTGTCATTGTACAAACATTTAGTGAAGACACCACATACCATCATGAATGAATATCCGATCCATAGCGAATTCCAGCCCTGTGGACACGAGGGGATCTGAATGGTCTGGCTGTGGACTGCTATGACCATCGCAGGAGCTTCACAGACTGTGCAACTAAAAAAGGGAGTAAGCAGGGGGAGAAGAAGGGAGGAGAAACTGTATTAAAAGATTGAAAACAATAATGGTAGAGTAATAGTTTGGCAACTTGTCTCATCCATGGGTCTGTTACTGCTGGAATGCAGCCTTCCCAGTATTGTAGTGATCAAGAATTAGAGAGCCATTATTTCAACCCTGATTCTAAGCTACATCCGGTAAAGCGCCACAAGTGAATTTGGGGTTAGGAAAAGACAAACATGACATTTTGATGTGTTGAGTTTAATATCCATCTCTGGAAGGCCAACTTTGAGTCCTAGGCTGCAATAACAGAAGGAATATAGAATCAAGACTGTGTGAAGTGTTTTATAAGGCCTTGGCAAGACCGTACTTGCCAAAACTGCATTCAGTTTTGGTCACCATGATATAAAAAAGATGTTGAGACTCTAGAAAGAGTGCAGAGAAGAGCCTGCACAAAGATGATTTGGACTGGAGGCTAAAAGTTATGATGATTGATTGCAGAAACTGGGTATGTCTAGTCTAATGAAAAAAGGACGAGGGGGGACATGATAGCAGTGTTCCAATATCTCAGGGGCTGCCCCAAAGAAAAGGGAGTTAAGCTATTCTCCAGAGCACCTGAAGGCAGGACAGAAACTAATCAAAGAGAAAACCAACCTAGAAATAAGGAGACAGTTCCCGACAGAACAATTGACCAGTGGAACAACTTGCCTCAAGAAGTTATAGGTGCTTCATCCCTGGAGGTTTCCAAGATTGGACAGCCATTTATTGGCTGTGCTATAAGGTCTGGACTAGGTCCCTTCCAACTTTGTTATTCTCTTAGTTATTTTGTCATTCTGTTACTTTGTTGTCGTTCTGTTATTCTGTTACTCTCTTAATCTGTTAACTGCTCTTTTACTATCGAGTCTTGAGTTCTATATGGACATGTAGTTGCTTTTCATACGGAAACTGAAGATGCTGCCTTCAGCTTTCTAAGAATTCATCCTACCTGGATTGGAACTTCTCTGTTTGAAACAAAAAAAATGCTTTTTTTATATATATATAAAGGTGCATCCTACATAAAACATATCTGGCAGTTTTGTAGAAAGACTGCTCCGCTGGTTTCCCATGTTCAACCTCAGCATCATCATACAGAGGGATGAGAAATGACAGTCTATCTTTCTCCTACTTGAAACCCAAGAGAGCTTCTTGCTCACCGGCTAATAAAAGGTTGGATATTCTTTCCAGTTAGGGGCTCCATGCTCATTGGCATCGGCTCAGGAGTAGAAAGCCAGTAAGAGTAGTCATTCCTGGATGCAAAGTTACAGACGTTGTTGATGTTGCAAAACATGAAGGGCATGGTGCTGAAACGGCGGAGACAGCTGCCAGCAGTGCCTAGCAAAGGGAAGACGCCCTTGGTAAGAATGAGATATAAGACAAGTTTTCCCCTTCCTTCCTTCCTTCCTTCCTTCCTTCCTTCCTTCCTTCCTTCCTTCCTTCCTTCCTTCCTTCCTTCCTTCCTTCCTTCTTTCCTTCCTTCCTTCCTTCCTTCCTTTCACATACTTTCTTTTCTCCCTCCCTCTTTTCTTTCTTTCTTTCTTTCTTTCTTTCTTTCTTTCTTTCTTTCTTTCTTTCTTTCTTTCTTTCTTTCTTTCTTTCCTTTTTCTTTCTTTCTTTCACATTCTTTTTTCCTCCCTCACTCTTATTTCTTTCTTTCCTTCCCCCTCCCTCCCTCTTTCTTTCTTTCTTTCTTTCTTTTCTTTCTTTCTTTCTTTCACATACTTTCTTTTTTCCCTCCCTCCCTCCCTTCCTCTGTCTTCTTTCTTTCTTTCTTTCTTTCTTTCTTTCTTTCTTTCTTTCTTTCTTTCTTTCTTTCTTTCTTTCCTTTTTCTGTCTTTCTTTCCTTTCTTTCACATTCTTTTTTCCTCCCTCACTCTTATTTCTTTCTTCCTTCCCCCTCCCTCCCTCTTTCTCTCTTTCTCTCTTTCTCTCTTTCTTTCTTTCTTTCTTTCTTTCTTTCTTTCTTTCTTTCTTTCTTTCTTTCTCTCTTTTTCTTTCTTTCTTTCACATACTTTCTTTCTTTCTTCCCTCCCTACCTCCCTCCCTCCCTCTGTCTTTTCTTTCTTTCTTTCTTTCTTTCTTTCTTTCTTTCTTTCTTTCTTTCTTTCTTTCTTTCTTTCTTTCTCTCTCTCTCTCTCTCTTTCTCTCTCTCCACCCATCTTATCACAGGGTACCTATGGGCGGCTTACAATATTATAAAAATAAAACTCTATAAATAAACTACTACAAAAATATAAAATACAATACAGGTGAAAGATGGGGAGAGAAGGGGGATCTGTTATTAATCTATCAGCCACCCCCAATGTGAAGCCCCTACTTTACTTCCCCTATCCAGAGACTAGCTCTTCCCAATATGGCACGCCATAACTATGTTAAGACTACAGCTTCCAGAATCCCTAGCCCAGGAATTGCGGTCCCGGTGGATGGGCAGAATGCCAGCTTGAGCAGCCTTCCAGCCAAGGGTGTTAACACCGTCCTCGCATTTTTCACGGTTCTATTCCAGGAGATGCACCTCAAATACTGTTCCAAGAAATGCAGAAGCCTCTCAATGGATGGTCAAGCGGCCTCGGATGAGGAAGACCAGCGGCTTTAGGCACAGCCCTTCACACACATCTATTTTGTGGCTCTGCACAAAACCTCCAGAGAAAGGGATCTGCTTTACAAGAGCCTCATGGATTCAGGGAGAGAAGAAATTGTACTCCTAAACATCAGACAAGCCACTGTTTCCCCAAAGTACCAGCCAGAAAAAAAAAAAAAAGCACAATAGGACTGAGATATGAATTATGATTAGAATAGAAGTGGGTCTCCAATGCCATCTCCATTAAAAAAACAACCTGCCCAGAGCAAAATGGAACCTTACCCAGATCCTGCCCGTGAGCTCTCTCGTTTCCTTGTACGTAGAGAAGGGAAAATCCATCATAGATCCGGCTGGTTCCCGGTGGGCAGAAGGGGCTGTCGGTGGTTTGGCTGTGGCGAGTTATGAGGAATCCATGGGCAACCGAACCTGTTCCTGGCTGTCCTGGAGGACCTTGCAATCCATCAGGGCCAGGGGGTCCGTGTGAACCACGTAGACCTGTGTGTGCAGGATGAACAAAGTCAATCACCCCCTCTCGACAGGTGGACAGATGTGAATCTGCAATCTTAAAACAACCAGCCTTCTCAATAGGTTGGGCAAGCCCAAAGTTGACATGGATTCTCCAGGATCAATTTGGGATAGACTTCCCATAAGATCAGTTACGAAGGCTTTGCTTCCTACCCTGGCACAGCTGAAGCCAGACAGGTTGTGACATTGGACACAAGGCATGCCTCGCCCTTGTTTTGTCCTAGGATTTGGCACCATCCTGCCTCTTTTCTGGCCATAAAAGCCGAAGAAAAGCTTCCAAAGATTTTGTTCTTTCTGGAGATTCAGTTGAACCCGCAAAGGAGAGCAGATCTACGTCTGCCTTCATGGCTTGATGCCTTCCTCTTCCCCCTTCCCATCCACAGAAATGATACATTCACTTTACCTGGCTGGCCTGGGAGTCCTCTCTCCCCTTTACGCCCCACTGGACCATCAAAACCAGGAAGGCCATCATGTCCAAAGTCACCAGGAAGACCAATTGAACCTATGGATGTATTTTGTTTAATGAGTTCCTTTAGACCAGTGGTTCTCAACCTTTTTAATGCCGCGACCCCAACCGGTCGTAAGTCGAGGACTAAACCGGTCGTAAGTCGAGGACTAAACCGGTCGTAAGTCGAGGACTAAACCGGTCGTAAGTCGAGGACTGCCCAACTGGTCGTAAGTCGAGGACTTTCCCTGCCCGGGAGCGCCGCGCATGCGTGGTTCCGCCCCCTGCGCCAGCCGAGGCGTAGCTGGCAAGCGGCAGAGACGGAGCAGGCCTACCACCAGCTGGCCCAGCCCAAGGGAGGTAAGGCACAGAAAAGGGAGAAAAAAATGGTGGACAAAAAAAAATGGCGGACAGCCTTGCTTGGCGACCCCCATGAAATGGTCGATCAATCCCAAATGGGGTCCCGACCCACAGGTTGAGAACCACTGCTTTAGACTGCTTGCAAAGACCCCATCATATTACTTTAGTCCAGGGGTCTTCAAACTTGGCCCTTTTATGACTTGTGGACTTTAACTCCCAAAATTCCTCAGCCAGGCATGCTGGCTGAAGAATTCTGGGAGTTGAAGTCCACAAGTCATAAAAGAGCCAAGGTTCTCCACACCTGAGCTAGGTTGATGCCTTATGTTACTCTACCCCAGGGGTCTTCAAACCTGGCCCTTTTATGACTTGTGGACTTCAACTCCCAGAAGTTGAGTTGTGGACTTCAACTCCCAGAAGCTGACTGAGGAATTCTGGGAATTGAAGTCCACAAATCATAAAAGGGCCAGGTTTGAAGGCCCCTGCTTTAGTCAAATGCCAGAAGACAGCTATCTAATTGCTTTCATCCATATTGTTACCTGTCCAGAAAGGACTTACCTGGCAAACCTGGAGGTCCTGGAAGTCCAGATAGACCTTTCATTCCAGGTTGTCCTGGAAGACCAGGTGGTCCTTGATCACCTTTAATCACAATTGTTTTTCCAGCCGGGCCAGGTATTCCTGGAGGACCTAGGATGCAGAGAAAGTTGAGAACCTAAATCATTTAGTCAGGCGGTCCTTTGGATGGTTCATGAAAAAGGAGGGAATAAAACATGGTAAATATCTGGCATTATCAGATGCCACCAGGAGAAGATGGATTGGGTCTCACCCTGGTCTCAAAACCGTTTTTTCAGACTGAGTTAGAGCTCTGCATCCTGCTTGGTACCGACAAGGACAAGGGATATATGATCTGATAAATAAATTGTAGGCACTCTACAATGCCTTGGTAAGGCCACACTTGCAATACTGCATCCAGTTTTGGTCACCACGATGTAAAAAAGATGTTGAGACTCTAGAAAGAGTGCAGAGAAGAGCAACAAAGATGATTAGGGGACTGGAGGCTAAAGCATATAAGGAACAGTTGCTGGAATTGGGTATGTCTATAACGAAGAGAAGGACGAGGGGGGACATGATAGCAGTCTTCCAATATCTCAGGGGCTGCCCCAAAGAAGAGGGAGTCAAGCTATTCTCCAAAGCACCTGAAGGCAGGACAAGAAGCAACGGGTGGAAACTAATCAAGGAGAGAAGCAACCTGGAACTAAGGAGAAACTTCCTGACAGTTAGAACAATTAACCAGTGGAACAACCTGCCTCCAGAAGCTGTGAATGCTCCAACACTGGAAGTTTTTAAGAAGAGACTGGACAGCCATTTGTCCAAAATGGTATAGGGTTACCTGCCTGAGCAGGGGGTTGGACTTGATGACCCTTCCAAATTTTTTATTATTATTATTATTATTATTATTATTATTATTATTATTATTATTATTATTATTATTATTATTATTATTATTATTAATAATAATAATATAAATAATTCCAGTAATAATCAATTTTGTTTTAGGGCACCCCAAAGCTTCCCAAGAGCAAAGAAGGCCAGCTGCTTACAGAAAAAAAAAACCACTTCTGAGTCACAGCTTAACTTGCTGCTATTGCTATTCTTATTTTACCAAACAATCTGCTTTTTAAACACTTGACATCTGGAACAAAAGATAGACACCCAATTTTAGCTACCAATTATACTCAGCAATACCGGGATTCAGTCTGATCTAGACCAGGCCCAAGATTTGCATTTCCCCGCACAGCTCCGTTATTTTAAGATTGTGTTGGTCTTGGAAACGTTTATTTCTCCTCTTCTTGAGTCCTGCCCATCGTAAACAAAGAATGCCATCTACCATAGGGTTTATGTGACTCTGAGGCTTTAACAACCACGTTGCTGCTCTCAGTTGACAACTACCTGTATTATTTATTTTTTTTCCTATCCTGAAAGTTGAAATCCTCAGTGTCTAGGAATAGAAACAAGAGAAAAAGGGTATTAACCAGCAACAGGGGCAAATTTTAAGCCAGTTTAGTCTTCTGCCAACTAAGGAAGAATCTCAGTGAATGGGAAAGGACAGAGAAGTCCTTGACTTACAATCCTTCGCTTACTGACTGTTTGAACTTACAACAGCCCTGGAAAAAGTGACGTATGAACTGTCATGCTTATGACCGTTGCAGCATCTCCGTAGTCGCATGATCAAAATTCAGACATTTGGCAACTGACTCCTATTTATGACGGTTGCAGTGTCTCGAGGTCATGTGATCCCCTTTTGCAACCTTCTAACAAGCAAAGTCAATGGGGAAGCCGGATTCACTTAAATCAGGGGTAGTCAACCTTGGCTCTTTTATGACTCGTGGACTTCAACTCCCAGAATTCCTGAGCCAGCTAAGCTGGCTCAGGAATTCTGGGAATTGAAGTCCACGAGTCATAAAAGAGCCAAGGTTGACTACCCCTGACTTAAATCATATTATTAAACTTAACATCTACAGTAATTCACTTAATAACTGTGGCAAGAAAAGGTTGTAAAATGGGGCAAAATTCACTTAGCAGCTGTCTTGCTTAGCCACATAAATTTTGGGCTTGATTGCGGCTGTAAAGCAAGGATTATTTGTATATTCCTACTTTCCTAAATACACTTGGACTATGCTGGTATCCCCCAAATTAAAGTTGTGTTGGAGCAGAAATCCTCTCATCCCCAGAGCCTTTGTCAACCCAAGATAGCCAGTCAAAAGGTAAAATCTGACCGGTGGCCTGCACGCATTGTGTAACTGTTTGCCTGCTGCTCAAAAATGATTTTGTAAGTGGGAAGTTTATTGTACAACACTGCTTGCGTTCAGTCTACATTAGATGCCATGAAAATTGGATCTGGTATAAATTGCTGAGATTACGAGACAAAATTTCATGTACAGATTAAATGTCTTATCATACTGCCCTATGTATAACACAGGTAGAATTAAATTACTGTCTCTCCTTGGAATTGATCCCTCTGGTTCTAATGTTAGTAATTGGGTCTTATATTGTTTAGGGGATGGCTCCTCCTATATTACTACTCAGGTTTCTAAATTTCTTTTAAGAGCTGTAACTATTAGAGGAGAACGTTGTAATTTCCTTTAGCCAAGGCTTCTGGTGTTTAATTGTTTGCAATTATATTTTTCTTGTGTTTTCTTTTGTTGCATTTGCATTTTGGTCTGTGACCGCAAAATAAAATATTATTATTATTATTTGCATTTTGCATGTACAGATTAAGCTAAAAGGATATGGGAAGGATCTGCCTTAAGAGGTGCTAAATGTTGGACTCCATACACACCAGCTTTGGAAGAATTGCTTTCGCCACATAGCAAAATCTTGCTTTGCTTGTTGTGAATTATAGTCCAGGAAGAAGGGACCCAGTACTTTTGATTATCCACCTGTGTTGGTTAGATTTCAATCTGCATTTTAAGAAGCACAATCCTTATCAAGCATGAAGTAAATGAATTAAAGGCAGAGAGAGAGAGAGAGAGAGAGAGAGAGAGAGAGAGAGAGAGAGAGAGAGAGAGAGAGAGAGAGA